AAAAATTGATGAAATATTTTTCACAGTTTTACGATTTAGTTCTTGATTTTATTATTCCTTCAATTTTTCTTTCATTTCAAGTTCATTTTTTACCAAATTTGAACTACATACTCTTAAACCATATATAATTGTAATTCCTCTTTTTGATAACAAAATTTTATTTTTCAATTTAATCTTTTAAGTTTTCATAATTTCCTTATTTCTTCAATTCATCATTTATTTTAAGTTCTTTTTTTTTATCAAATTTGAACCACATGCTCATATACCACAATATAATACATATGTAACTTCATTTCTTACTTTTTTTTATTAAAAATTTGTTCTCTTTTTTGTTTAGTTTCTTAACTTTACATTTTACTCAATTTGGTTTTTTTACTACAATTGTTTGCAAATTTTTTCTTCTCGTCAATTCGTTGACTCCTTTAAACCCTCGTCAATATTTTACACTCAAAATACTTCCTTTTTTTGTGAAATAAAGATAAAACCTAAAAAAACTTAAGCCTTTGCTGCCAAAATACAACCAGCAGTTTCCTGTTGAACCAAATTGGCAACTTCCAATGGTGGAGTGTAGAAGACCATGTGAACCTCACCTCTTGTTGCAGCTATCTTTGTCACCTTATTTGTAGCCTGGTTTATATGCTTCAAGGTAACATTCCATTCCCGGTTTAACAATTCATTAACACAGTCTAGAAGAGTAATGATCAAACCTCTTTTAGAACTTTCCAATAATATTCGAACAACCTCCAAACTATCTACTTCCACTATAACTTGCCTCTCCCCAAGATTCCAAGCATGAGAAAGACCTTCATGGATACCTCAAAATACTTTCTTTAAAATATAATATTATGCATATATTTTATAATTTTAGATTGTATTTGATATATTATATAACACTACAGTGTGGAATATATATATATATATATGGTTAAAGAAAGTCAAAAAATTGAAACAAATCTTTTCCATAATATTATAAATAATTATAATAAAATTAGTATAGAAACTCTAATAACTTGACTCAAATTTCTTAAACTCGACTCGAAAAAATTTCAAGTTAAATTCGAGTTGTAAAATACGACTCGTTAACTCGAATAACTATATATATTTTTACTACACTCGACTCAATCGAATACTTACCCCTTATATCTAGTGGTTTATTTAACGTGATACTCGTATTTATCTCAATCTTATCCAAAATTTAATTAAAATCTCTCATTAAAAATATATATTTTCTCCGTCCCATTATTTTTATCTATGATTAACTAAACATATAATACTAAAAAATTAATTTGATCTCGTACCAAATTATAATAAATAAGAGAAATAATAAACTAATTTAAAAAAATAATTTACATATTTAATAAATTTATTTTGATGAGATAAAATTGTAAGGGTAAATAAAATATGATTGTTATTATTTGTTAACAATTTTTAATATGATATTTTAAAAGAAAAGTTTTTAAAATTTAATACAAATAAATTTAATGAGACAAAGAGAGTAGTATTTATATTTTAATAAAATATTTATATTTATATATTTTATCGAAATATTTGATATGATATTTTTTTATTTTATGTTATTACGATATATTTTGGTAAAATGGTAATTTTTTGTCGCTATAGTAGACCCGATTTATCATTTTCGTTCATATCGTATTTTCGCATCAATTAAACATTTGAAGTTGCTCAATTGCATCAATGTTTAAAATACTTGCTATTGCTTAGAGTTTTATGTTATGGTTTAGGGTTTTAAAGTTTGTGGTTTAGAGGTTATGCGTTATGGTTTAGGGTTTCTTGTTGATAGTCTTTCTTGCTCGTTTTCTGTGTGTCATTCTGCTCCCTTTATCCTGTTTGTTTCAGGATTTCAATTGTTGGTGCACCTGCGTTTGCAGGACGACATTCTTAGTTGCGGGAGCATGTCTAATAGCGGGTGCAACAAGGAATGCCTATCACACCAAGTATCGCGGGATGATTTATGCCTAGAATGTCACCTGTGAAACATTGAGGAAAGGCGTCTTTATCGCCGGAGCGGTGTTTGTGGTTGCAACAATGGTACTCAACGTATACTACTACATATATTTCACCAAGGCAACCACCACGACACCGGCTCACAAGGCGAATCGCACAAATCCAAGTGTTGGGATGACCGGTTATGCATAAAGATTAAATTTACTCGATTAAAGAAGTTGGGCAGATTAGTGTTTGAGCTAAATTGACATTATAATAAAAAACTGAACTTGTTATGCTCGTAGGTTTTCTAGTCATTATCATCTTTATCATTTTCTTCAGTTTTAGCTGTCTTGGACAATCGCCCTTCTCTCATATCATTAGAATGTATATTTCTTTAAAAACATTATTTTCTTACTTCATCTGACCAATTATTACACATCATTCATAAACATAGCAATATCCCTCGACATCTCTAACGTAAACTAATTACATTTTTAATTTTCTCTTATAATAATATATATTCAATTTTGGTTCGTTTTAATACTTAAACTTTTAATTTTTTTAAATCATACCTAATGTTTAGTTTTGTTTCATTTTAGTGCACCGCCGTTAAAAACTTAACGGTGGACGGACGACCGATCCGAACGGTGGACCACAAGAGAATGATAAGTCGACTAACATAGTCCAGTTTTAGATCCACCGGACGGTTGATAACGGAGATCAGGTGATGTAAAAGTCGAAGAATCCATCGTCGACTTGGGAAGATTGAGGCATTTTTCGATGAAATAGAGACTAAAATTACGTTTAAGAGATCGAAAAGGTATAGGTTGAATGTTTAGGTTTCATCGTTTGACAGATACAATGACCAACGATTATAGACATGACATCTGACGAGCTCGTTCGTTCAATTTTTAACGGAGGGATATTAAAATGAAAAAAAAACAAATCATGGCAAATCCCCCGATAAGTTGTCCCTTCCCAGCCCTTGCTTTCTCTCCCTTTTGTCTCCGCCCCTGCAATCTCGCTCCCATTGCCCCCCGATACGGAGGGATATTTAAGGGCACTGCACTTTCACGGATAAATTACATCATTCATCACTCAATTATCTTCTCACTCCTATTTTGGTACTGAATTTTAATTTTTTTTTAATTTAACTACTCAACTTTCAAATTGATCCTAATTTAATCACTCTAATTTATTTTATTAATAATTTTTGTGACATGACATTTTTTATTATTTATTAATATATAATTTAAAAAAAATGAAAGTTATAGTGATTGAATTAGGAGTAATTTGAAATTTAAGTAATTAAATTAAAAAAAATTAAACTTTAGTAACCAAAATAGGTGTGAGAAGATAATTGAGTGATGAATGATGCAATTTACCCATAAAAGAAGGTGTCGCATGCAAACCCGTCCATTGAGTTTTTAACAACGAGGTATTAAAATGAAATAAAAACTAAACGTTAGGTATTATTTTGATTTTTTTAAAAGTTTAGATATTAAAATAGACCAAAACTAATAATTTAGGTACTAAATACGTAATTTACCCAAGAATTAAAATACTTAAAAAGAAAAAAAATTAATTTGAACACTTATTTTTAATTAATTCTTTACATTTTTATTAAATTTGAGAATTAAATTTTTATCCAAAATCAAGAATTAGTTCAATAGAGTCTTTAAACTTTTTTATAAGTAAAATGAATTGGATGAATATTCGATTAATTAAATCATTTGTTCTTAATCAATTAATTAAATTAACTTATATAATTAATCTATTAAAGGTTTAGTAAACTTTTAGTCGTTAAATTGCAATAATAACGTTGTAATGATACTTTTAAGATTATAATATTATCTAAAGATGTAAATCGTATCACTTTATTATTAATACTTCAGCAAATCTTACGTTTGAATAAAAGACCAAATATCACAAGATTGCATCAAAGTTTGATGGTACGGACAATATTCACCTACTCAACACCCTGGCGAGATTCGCGCTCAACTTCATCGCCTTCTCCCATATTTTCACCAATTAATTTGTCCACAATTTCTCAAGTTTTTTTTAATTAAATATTAATAATTTATGGATTATATTTACACTTTTACATCATTAAATGATAGATTTTATAAATAATTTTAATTTATTATCATATACTCTTAATCAATATTTAGATAGAATTTAGTTTTCAATGATAAGGCTCTAACATTCTAGAAACAACTCCCCTAATTGTTATGTTATTTATTAAAGTAACTAACTAGTTCAATAATGAATATTATATTTTTATTTATTTTAAAAACCGTTGTTTAAAATATATTATTTTTTATTTAGATGCATAAATTATCGCCACCATCTGTATTTTTTATTTTTTTTCTTGAATTTCTTATATGTATTTTTATTTTATTTCTTTAATTTTTAATAACTATGTCTTTATGACACGTATTTGTTATCTTTTATTGCTCGTTTGAATTTGATCTTTCTCATCGTTTAATTTTTTCATGGTTGGGTTTGAAGTTGCCTCAACTAATCAAGATGATGCTTATTTTTAGTCATGTTAATCTTCTTTGCTTTGGACCATCAGATTGGATTTAAGTACGATATTTGCATTCAGAGATAATTTTCTCACAATGTTCGACTCTGATTTGTGATTGTCAGTGATCTTTTAATAGTTTGATCTCTTGTATTAGTTCATTTGTCGATGCAGTCAAATATATTAGTATCTATGTTTTGTTCAAGTTTTTTTGGATAAATTTTTAACCTTTTCTCTATATGATCACTAGTTTATTGTGTCAATGATTATAAGAAATACCATGATCATATATTTAATAATAATTTTTTATTATAATTTTAAATATTTTTTAAATAAAATTAACTGGTTTTATTTGCATGAAAAATAACTAATATTAATAAAAAAAATCGTCTACTAATTAAAGAAAAGATTCCTCAAACTTAGTCACCGACGTGTAGATTTTTTAAACGCAACGGCCTCATGCCTACCATTTTTTATTTATGTGTGTGGGGGTTCATATTGGGGCCTAGAAGGATGAATAATTTAATCAGGATGACAGAGTGAAGTCAAAGGAACAATAATATTGTGTTAATCTCCTTTCCATGGCTGAAACTCTATCAGCATATAACAATAACCCTTTGCTATTCTTTCTCTGATACTTTTCCTCCCGCATTGAAATCCCAGAAGAAAAAAAGCAAGTTGAACCTCTTTAAGAGAAACAGTGTTGGCTTCTTGTTAGAAATAGTGTTTCTTCTTCTACTTTTAGAGTAGGCCAATCTTTATATGAATTTTGAGTAGCAGGAAGAGAGTTTTGAATTCTTCCATGGTGGTGATATTGGTGATCTTTGTGTTACAGATTTGGGTTTGCGATGACTGCTGCCTAGCTGGAGCTATCAGGATTTTCTCGGAAAATGGAATGAGAAAGATGATGGAGAGAAAGGTCGAAAACAATGAAGATATTCAAAACTACTTCAATGGAACCACATATTTCAGTTTCAAGCGAAGAACCGACGAAGGGTTCGAAGAGTTCCCAGTTGCCCAGACCCTCTTCACAACTAGTAGACAATTATTTTAACCTAGATCTCCTCCATTTTCTTCTGAATCTTGTCGATTGATTCGTATCCAAAAACCCACGTTTTCCCGCATCATGACCTTGCTGGTGTTTTGGTGGAAAAAACGATGGTATTTTGGAATTTCTTTATGTACTTCCTTTTGGATCCTTTTTCTCTAGAAACAAACATGTTTTTCTCTGCATTTCTCTAAAGAATAATGATTAAATACATCGACTTCATCATTAATATTTTAACATCGAGTAATCAAAAATAAAATTAAAACTAAACATTAGATATAATTTAAAATAAATAATTGATTAATCAAAAGCAGAACAAACGTGGTATACTAAATCCACAGTCTACCTTTAATTTTTAACAAATAGGGGGATTTCAAAAACAATGAAAATGATCATCCTGGTATTTAATTGTTGTAATGCTCCAAATTTTAAACGCAAACCATCAAAATTATATACTTAAAATGATCGATAACAATTTATATTATAAAAGCATGCACAATTTTGAAATAAAAATAATAATTTTCAAGCTTAAAAACAATTTCGAGAATACCTAAATATCATTTATCGAACCTAACCATGTTCCCCCAATGAAAAAGAGAACGGGGGCAAACCAGAAAAAGGAGGTGCTTATGTTTGAATTTGTCATAAGAAACATGAGTCGTGGTGCCATGTCTGTACCCTCAAATGAATCCCGACATTAATAATGGAAGGATTTATGTAGAGTGGACCAACTTTAATGTGTTGGGCGTGGGGCTAATGGCTTTACACGTTTACCACCCTCCTACCCAACTTTAGGCGGCCCAACTCGTAGTAAGTAGATTTATTCATGGTTGGCTACAATAAAATAATAATGTTTTTAAAAATATATAATATTAATAAAATAATAATATATCAACTTTGAGTGGTAAGAAATTTGATATTGCTTAAGCAGGTCTCAAGTTCGACTTGTTATGTATATAAAAAAATCTTTACTAAAAGACTCATTTGCCAAAATTTAGATGTGCGATCTGAATCGGTTCGGATTAATCAAGACGAAGTCTTGATTGTCCGGAGGAAAACAAAATAATAATAATAATATGTGTAATATCAACTGCAATTTAAAAAATCATGTCTACAGTTGAAAACAAATGCTTGTTTCGTGGAGTGGAAATGGGCCAAAAATGAAGTCTGCTTAATTAAAAAGGCTTCATGGATTCCATTTTTTGTGGTTTTAGTAAGACTAGACTTAGCCCAAGCTCGTCCTGCTATCGCCTCTTTTCAAGTAAGATGAGATCCTATTACATTAGCTGATGTTTGTATATGTGACCTTAATAAACAACAATGATTTTTTTAATAATTGAGGTAAGTTGGTTTGTCCAAAATTATAATATTTTTTTTAAATATTGTTTATGATATTTTCTAATATTACTTGCTACATGACAATTAAATATAAAATATTACAAATAATATAAAATATTATTTATTAGATTATTTTAATAAATAAAATAAATTTTTAATAAAATGTGATTCAACGAGCGTCCTTAATTGCAATATATATATATTTTAAATGCTCACAATCATTTCATAATAAACGTTCAATTACACTGCTGTAATAGTTGGTGCTCAAACTCGTGACCTCTAAAAATAGCAACGATTTCTTGAATCACGAAGATAAATTGGTTTGTATTGATAATTGAATTTAAAACAATCATATTGGTTTTTTCTTAAAAAATATCATATTGGTACTTAAAAATATAAAATAAATTAGCACATAATATTAATATGATATTTTAATAATTAATTAGATTATGATATATATAACATTAAATAATATTATTATTTTGATCTCATTGAATGTTTTAAGCGGCTAAAAAGAAAGTTATCTTATTTGAGGTTTTAAGTTCGAATAATTATATATATATAATTATTATTTTAACTGATTAATACTATAAAATATGTTTTTATATAAATTATATACATTAAAAAAATTGTGGTCCTCTGTCACCATTGTTCTGGAAAAATCTGAACTTATTCTGGTTCAAACAAAGTTGTTTCCTTGGCGACGTTTGCTTGAACTTATTATCCATCACTTTTAGAACAGAAATATGTAATTTTCCTGGAAAAATGACAGGTAAGCAAATGGAAATTGACAAGTTTGTCATAATATTTATTCGGCCGTACCTGGAATCCTAAATGGCTAAATGAAGGCCACAATTCAAACCTGATCAACCAATCTGGTCAATTCAATTCAACTCACCGACCGACGCAGAAAATATGTTCTATAAAGTCAACTTTTAAAATTTCAGGGAGTAAAACTTAAATTTATAAAATTATAATAGGTAAAAATAAATTTTTAATAAAAAATATATTAAAAAAATAAGTAAAAGGGTATGCGAGACCCGGGGACGGAGACATGTAAGCTCTTGGCGGGACACTATCCCTAAACTTTTTTATCATTAAAAAATATAAGTATAATTATTTATTTAGGCTTTTAAATTTAAATTTATTTTTATTTTATTCATCATTTTTTATTGTTAATTATATTTTACTTTTCTTGAACTACAATTTTTGTTCCATCCTTGATGAAACCCTTACACATTTTAAAATAAAACTCTCGTCAATATTTTTACCCAATATAACTCTTTAAATATATGATAGTTTAAATTTTTTAAGGTGACTACCCCTACTCACACTAGTTCGATCCATCCCTAGGTAAACTCATTTTCTCATTTCCTACATTTCCACGCCCTCAACTTCTCCAGCCACCAACCTTGAGCCAACCATCTTCCCTCAGCATCATCACCCTTCACCAACCACCCAAAAAGAATTTAGATAATTATTATCTCTTTCTCGTCCTAAAATAGGTCTAATCAAATTTAAAATTCCTCTTTTACAATTTAAAATTAATAAGTTTCAGACTAAGATTCTTAATTCTCATTTTGTTTTTTAGATAATTTTTCAAGTATTTAAATATAACAGTTTAAATATGTACTTATTGAGTGATTAAAAAAATGTTTATATTTTCGCCTTGTCATCCCTGTTCAATCGACTTGTGCTTGTACTTGCACCGTGCATGTTATTTCTTTCTGAATAAAACTCGTACATATTTTTTAACATTTTTGATCTATTATTCTCATATCTTTTATTTTGATTATAAATGATGTTGCCGTTAAATATTTCCTTCAAAAATGAATCATGTCGTATTAATAAAAATATGTCCTACAAATACGCCTCCTAAAAGATATTTCGCGTCTTTACCAAAATAATATTATTTTTATAAATTGTCTTTTATAATATCATTTACTTAAATAACAAAATATTCTTATAAGTTGATCAATATTTCATGTTAGAATTCTATAACTAATCTCTTTTATCATTATTATATTTTATTCGAATAACACAATCAAAGAGTTCAAGTAAAGTTTGAATTCAAATTAAACTATTTTGACATTTTAGTATGAATATATATTCTATTTTAGGTTAACTAAATGATTGATATTTTTGTTTATTTTTTCTTATTGATTTCAAAAAATATAATATACGGTTACTTTTATTTTTATTTGATTAAGATATGATAACCGTGAGACAACCGTCGTTAACAACAGTTAAATATTTTAATATAATCACATATTTAGTCCATGTTATTTACATATTCACTCAATTTAGTCATAGTTTTGATAAATTAAAATAAATTTAATCATCTACTCAAATGATGTCACGTGTCACTGGGCCACATATCACAATTTGATTGGAGAATTAAGTTTATTTTATTTTAATATATTTAATTTAATATAATTATGTTAAAATAAATATATTAAATTAAAATAAACTTAAACCCTCCAACCGAATGATGACATGTGACACAACACTTGACTCCAATGACATGTGACATCATTCGAATGAAAGATTAAATTTATTTTAATTTATTTCAAGTATGACTAAATCAATAGAATATGTAAAAAACATAGATCAAATGTGTGATTATACCAAAATACCACGCCACCTAATATGTTAACTATTAACGACAGTTAACCTGTGATAGTCACATCTTAATTAAATAAAAATGAAAGTGATCATATATTATATATTTTTTTAAATCAACAAAAAAAATAAAAAAAATACAAACATAAATGATCAATCATGTACTTATCATTTTATTTTATTATTATACTGACTAGTGGTAGTTTTTACCAATAACAAATGGCATACAACTGTAATTAACCACAAAGACTGTAGAAATCGAGTTAAAAGACAACAATTTAACTCTAACTTACGAAAAAATATTAAAATATTTACAGATTTATATAGATCTGCATTATCTAGTAACATTTCATATATTATTTTGTGTAATCCTTTTTAACTACATAATATATTAAATAATTATTTATTATTTAGTTTCAAATAAAAATTTTAATAATATTTTTTAATTAAGCTAATGTTATTACAAAGTAGTATATATATTAAATATTCTTAATTATTTAATAATAAATGTTCAATCATTATGTTACAGTCATTGATTTTCAAACTCGTAACATCTAATAACAACAATGATTTCACGTTAAATACTAAAAAACTATGTACAAAGAAAATATGGTAGACTTTTTCTTTATTATAAATTAAACTATCTCAATAATTAGTGTCGCTCATCTTTTTTTTTTTATCTTTGTTAGCAGCGACGGTAACACTAATTTTAATGTTGGTTGTTAACTTCAGATTTTTTTATTATATTTTCTTATATATATTTTTTTTCAATAAGTTTACATTTATGATATATTTTTATTTACCTTTATGACACGTTTTTATCTATTTTTATGTCAAGTTATCTTTTGTCATTTGACATATTCTCCGATTGTTTGACCTTTTTAAGATTTATCTTTTTTAAAGATTAATTTGACATTACCACGATCGATTAAGATGTCGTTATATGATATCTTGTTGATTTTTCATGCTTTACTCTTGAAGTGGGTTTGGATACATATTTTGTGTTCGTAGATAGTTTTTCACGTTACTCGAGTTTGATTTGTGATTTTTCCAATGAGTTTTTAATAGCTTGATCATCTTTTGTGATTTGTTTGTTAATACGATCAGATCCATTTATATCTATATTTATTCGAGTTTCTTCATTAGATTTTTAATCTTTTATCGTATGATCCCTATGATCTTAAGTTACTAGTTTTAGTTGAATGATTATAGTCAATTATTTTAT